CCAAAACCTGTGGTACCAGAACCCAAATCAGAACCAGTCCCAGAGGTGATCCCAGAACCAGCGCCCGCTCCAGTCACAGCCTCAGAACCAGTGGTGGAGGCCGCACCAGCACCAGTGGTAGAGGCCGCACCGGAACCAGTGGTAGAGGCCGCACCGGAACCAGTAGTTGAGGCTGCACCGGAACCAGTAGTCGAGGCCGCACCAGAACCAGTGGTAGAGGCCGCACCGGAACCAGTAGTCGAGGCCGCACCGGAACCAGTAGTTGAGGCCGCACCGGAACCAGTGGTAGAGGCCGCACCAGAACCCGTGGTTGAGGCTGTACCAGAACCAGTAGTCGAGGCTGTACCAGAACCAGTAGTCGAGGCCGCACCAGAACCAGTAGTCGAGGCCGCACCAGAACCAGTGGTACTAGAAGCTAAAGTGGAACCAGAGCCCATACCGGAGCCTGAACCTGTGGTAGAAGCCACTCCGGAACCAGTGGTACCGGAACCAACCCCAGAGCCCGCCCCAGAGCCAGCGAAGGAACCAGAACCCGTCCCAGTAGAAGAACCTGCCTCACCAGAACCAGAAACACCAACAGAAGAACCAAAGCCAGAACCAGAACCCATCGCAGAGAACGGTACAGAAACACGGACACAGTCAGTGGTCCCTCACTATGATGCAGTTTTCGGCCTCGCTTATTTACAGATATCATTTATTTTCCCAGTGGGCTTTACCAGCGTCATCAACATCAGAGGACGCTAGTTTGACAAGACAGTGACCTTTGATTAAGATCAGAATAAAACTTTGGCTGTGTGCTCTGTGGTGATGAGTTCAGAGGCTCTTTTTCTCTCTGGTCTCTCTGTGTTCTCCCTGGTCCCTCTCTGGTCTCTCTCTGGTCCCTCTCTGGTCCCTCTCTGGTCCCTCTCTGGTCTCTCTCTGGTCTCTCTCTGGTCTCTCTCTGTTCTCTCTGGTCTCTCTCTGGTCTCTCTCTGGTCTCTCTCTGGTCCCTCTCTGGTCTCTCTCTGGTCTCTCTCTGGTCTCTCTCTGGTCTCTCTCTGGTCCCTCTCTGGTCTCTCTCTGGTCTCTCTCTGTTCTCTCTGGTCTCTCTCTGGTCTCTCTCTGGTCTCTCTCTGGTCCCTCTCTGGTCTCTCTCTGGTCCCTCTCTGGTCTCACTCTGGTCTCTCTCTGGTCTCACTCTGGTCTCTCTCTGTTCACTCTGGTCTTCCCCTTGTCCTCAGTCTTGCTCCTACCCCTCAGCTGCAGCTGTATTATACAGTGTATGCACAGCTTTTGACAGCTGTAGCAACACTCAGATCTACAACCAACAGATTTGATGTTTCTGCGGTAAGAAAAGTGTATAAAGTGTGTGTGAGGGTTGTTTCAACTGAAACGGTTACCGGTTACTGTGGTTACTGTGGTTACTGTGACAACCCCAGTCAGAAAGAGCTTGTTGCTGCATTCCTCTGACACAGCTGTGATCACAGCCGCTGCTTCTGCCTCAGACCAAAGGGAAACATTCCCAGTGCATAAACATGGTTTCATACCGGTATTACATCATGTTGTGTTCTTTGTTTACTTCTGCGTAGTTGACAGTTTGGGCCTGTTCCTCTTATCAGCTCCTCCAGACGCAGATCTGAGCTGTAAGCAGCTGATCAGAGCTGCACCAGACCTACATCACTTTCACTTTAATAACTTCAGCCGTGAGGGTCAGGATGAGGACCTCAGAGCCACGCCCTGGTCAGACACACTTTCACCTTTTAAAACCTGGATAATAACATCATTTTCCATGAAGCAGAGCTGGAGGCATGAAAACAGTTTACGCTGGTCCCTGGTTAAACACAGGAGTGAGTGTTCTAGAAGAAACCATAAGTGAAATCCTCTCACACACTTTATAAACTTTTCTAACCACCTGAACTCACAGCTGTTGAAGTGCAGTCACAGAGAGAGCTGCTGCAGCTGTCGAAATCTGTGCATACACTGTACACTGTAAAACACAGCTGCAGAGGGCCGCTCTCTGAGAGGAAGGAACAGGACTGAGGCCTACAGGACGACCATTGTAGTCCTCTGATCAGTGCTCCAACTCAGAGTGAGGGACCTCTAAACTTTTAAACAATTCCGGAAAAAAAAATACTTTTTGTTCTTTTCTAAGGCTCAGATTTGAACAAAAACAATTGGCAATAAAACATCTAATTTAAATATTATTATTATATATTATTTTTTGCACACCCTCGAGGGGTCTGGAGACTCTGGCCAGAGTCAAAGCGGACCTCAGATCAGAGAATGAGGTAAATGACAGACTCCTCTCTGATTGGTCCTCTCTCTTACAGACGTAGCGGCGGCGGAAGAGAAGGTCACGTTCACTCCAGGAAAGAAGAAGAGTAAGTTTGAGACGCTGCTGACCAAAGAGGAGATCGAGGAGGAGCAGAGGTAAGCCCCGCCCATCGGGACAAGCAGCGCCCCGTATGCATTAGCCCCGCCCACTTACTCCCCAGAGCATGATGGGACGCCTGCATGATGCTTGTCCGTTAGCCTCATCTCTGGTCCAGACGAGTCTCTCCTGGTGAACCCCTTAATCCTCAGTCTAATCCCGTAGTCCTCAGTGTAAACCTAGTCCTGGTCAAAACCTGGTCCTGGTCTAACCACAGAGTGGTGCTGTGTTACAGGGTGGAGCTCACTTCAGAGCTCACGAGTCTCTGACTGTTTTTGGTAAGACTTTTCATCTTCATCTCTTAATAATAGTAACTCTGTGTGGGACCTGACTCAGACCAGTGGTCCGAGGGCGGAGTCCTGTGGGACCCACAGTGGTCTTAAAAAGGCTTAAATCATTTAATTTATTAATTTGGAAATACTAAAAAATGTTCTACTGTATTTTAATAATATTAATACAGTCCTGGCTCAGTCCGGTTTCATTCCTGGTTCGGGCCTGGCTCAGTCCTGGCTCAGTCCTGGCTCAGTCCTGGCTCAGTCCTGGCTCAGTCCTGGCTCAGTCCTGGCTCAGTCCTGGCTCAGTCCTGGCTCAGTCCTGGCTCAGTCCTGCCTCAGTCCTGCCTCAGTCCTGCCTCAGTCCTGCCTCAGTCCTGGCTCAGTCCTGGCTCAGTCCTGCCTCAGTCCTGCCTCAGTCCTGCCTCAGTCCTGGCTCAGTCCTGGCTCAGTCCTGCCTCAGTCCTGCCTCAGTCCTGGCTCAGTCCTGGCTCAGTCCTGCCTCAGTCCTGCCTCAGTCCTGCCTCAGTCCTGCCTCAGTCCTGCCTCAGTCCTGCCTCAGTCCTGCCTCAGTCCTGCCTCAGTCCTGCCTCAGTCCTGGCTCAGTCCTGCCTCAGTCCTGGCTCAGTCCTGGCTCAGTCCTGGTTTAATCCTGGTTCAGTCCTGGCTCAGTCCTGCCTCAGTCCTGGCTCAGTCCTGCCTCAGTCCTGCCTCAGTCCTGGTTTTGTCCTGGTTCAGTCCTGGCTCAGTCCTGGCTCAGTCCTGGTTTCGTCCTGGTTCAGTCCTGGCTCAGTCCTGCAGGCTCTGGGTCAGAGGACAAAGAGCTGCTCCACATATTCCTCCAGAGCCCACCCCCAAACAGCAGCTCTATCAGAATATAAATATTCAACAAACATGTAGGCCACTTATAATGAGAGGCCAAACTACAGGGCCACTGTGGAGGCACATCTGACTGTTACCACTTATAATGAGAGAGTAAAGAAGTCACAACTACACTTGCTTGTACTATGTTTCCAGGGAATATAGAGAAAATAGGTCAGAGGATAATAATATGAATGTTTATGTTGAGCCTGGAGAGAGTGTGCAGTGGCGCCCTCTGCTGGACACACCACTCACTGCACCTACAGTCAGGAAGAAGAGAGAAGGACCAGAGAGAAGGGCTTTTAATCATTTAGAATAACATTTACTATTACTACATCTACTAATACTACTACTTATAATACTACTGTTATTACTACTTCATCCACTACTGCTACTACTAAGACTCATAGGCCATAAACAGATGGACAATAGACTGTAAACATGAAGCCTATTGACTTACATGTAAAAGTAAACTCCTCAAAGCTCGGGTTCAGTGGATTTTAGAATCTCCTCTACGTTGTTTCGTTTTAAATCCATAAGTTTTCTATAAATCCACACCTTTGTGCCACAAACTCCACTCGCTCTCGTCCGCTCTAATCTGTGCGGGTGCAGGTCGTGTTCCTCTGCTCTGATTGGTCCAGTCTGTCCCTGTTACAGCATAGAGTGAATGCCCTCGGAACAAATGCCCATATAAGGAAATTGGCTCCAGCTTGTTCAAATCTTCTTCTTCTACTAAAGCTAACACTATTGTGATGTCACACTCTGTCATTTCGCTCTCAATATACGGTGTATGATGTTACTCCTACGATTGCTGCTTATACTAAAACTGCTGCTGCTGAATCCGGCGCATGGTGAGTCCAATGTTTTCTAACACATTTGTTTCTCTGGTCTCTCTCTGGTCTCTCTCTGGTCTCTCTCCGGTCTCTCTCTGGTCTCTCTCTGGTCTCTCTCTGGTCTCTCTCTGGTCTCTCTCTGGTCTCTCTCTGGTCTCTCTCTGGTCTCTCTCTGGTCTCTCTCTGGTCTCTCTCTGGTCTCTCTCTCTGGTCTCTCTCTTTAGTCTCTCTCTGGTCTCTCTCTGGTCTCTCTCTGGTCTCTCTCTCTGGTCTCTCTCTTTAGTCTCTCTCTGGTTCTCTCTCTGGTCTCTCTCTCTGGTCTCTCTCTGGTCTCTCTCTCTGGTCTCTCTCTGGTCTCTCTCTGGTCTCTCTCTGGTCTCTCTCTCTGGTCTCTGTTCTCTCTCGTCTCTCTCTGGTCTCTCTCTGGTCTCTCTCTGGTCTCTCTCTGGTGTCTCTCTGGTCTCTCTAGTCTCTCTCTCTGGTCTCTCTGTCTGGTCTCTCTCTAGTCTCTCTCTCTAGTCTCTCTCTCTGGTCTCTCTCTAGTCTCTCTCTCTGGTCTCTCTCTGGTCTCTCTCTGGTCGCTCTCTGGTCTCTCTCTGGTCTCTCTCTCTGGTCTCTCTCTTTAGTCTCTCTCTGGTCTCTCTCTGGTCTCTCTCTCTGGTCTCTCTCTCTTTAGTCTCTCTCTGGTCTCTCTCTGGTCTCTCTCTGGTCTCTCTCTGGTCTCTCTCTCTGGTCTCTCTCTGGTCTCTCTCTCTGGTCTCTCTCTGGTCTCTCTCTGGTCTCTCTCTGGTCTCTCTCTGGTCTCTCTCTCTGGTCTCTCTCTGGTCTCTCTCTGGTCTCTCTCTGGTCTCTCTCTTTAGTCTCTCTCTTTAGTCTCTCTCTGGTCTCTCTCTCTGGTCTCTCTCTTTAGTCCTCTGGTCTCTCTGGTCTCTCTCTGGTCTCTCTCTGGTCTCTCTCTGGCCTCTCTCTGGTCTCTCTCTGGTCTCTCTCTGGTCTCTCTCTCTGGTCTCTCTCTGGTCTCTCTCTGGTCTCTCTCTGGTCTCTCTCTGGTCTCTCTCTGGTCTCTCTCTGGTCTCTCTCTGGTCTCTCTCTCTGGTCTCTCTCTGGTCTCTCTCTGGTCTCTCTCTGGTCTATCTCTGGTCTCTCTCTGGTCTCTCTCTCTGGTTCCTCTCTCTGGTCTCTCTCTGGTCTCTCTCTGGTCTCTCTCTGGTCTCTCTCTCTGGTTCCTCTCTCTGGTCTCTCTCTGGTCTCTCTCTGGTCTCTCTCTGGTCTCTCTCTGGTCTCTCTCTGGTCTCTCTCTGGTCTCTCTCTGGTCTCTCTCTGGCCTCTCTCTGGTCTCTCTCTGGTCTCTCTCTGGTCTCTCTCTGGTCTCTCTCTCTGGTCTCTCTCTGGTCTCTCTCTGGTCTCTCTCTGGTCTCTCTCTGGTCTCTCTCTGGCCTCTCTCTGGTCTCTCTCTGGTCTCTCTCTGGTCTCTCTCTCTGGTCTCTCTCTGGTCTCTCTCTGGTCTCTCTCTGGTCTCTCTCTGGTCTCTCTCTGGTCTCTCTCTGGTCTCTCTCTGGTCTCTCTCTGGTCTCTCTCTGGTCTCTCTCTGGTCTCTCTCTCTGGTCTCTCTCTGGTCTCTCTCTGGTCTCTCTCTGGTCTATCTCTGGTCTCTCTCTGGTCTCTCTCTCTGGTTCCTCTCTCTGGTCTCTCTCTGGTCTCTCTCTGGTCTCTCTCTGGTCTCTCTCTCTGGTTCCTCTCTCTGGTCTCTCTCTGGTCTCTCTCTGGTCTCTCTCTGGTCTCTCTCTGGTCTCTCTCTGGTCTCTCTCTGGTCTCTCTCTGGCCTCTCTCTGGTCTCTCTCTGGTCTCTCTCTGGTCTCTCTCTCTGGTCTCTCTCTGGTCTCTCTCTGGTCTCTCTCTGGTCTCTCTCTGGTCTCTCTCTGGTCTCTCTCTGGTCTCTCTCTGGTCTCTCTCTGGTCTCTCTCTCTGGTCTCTCTCTGGTCTCTCTCTGGTCTCTCTCTGGTCTATCTCTGGTCTCTCTCTGGTCTCTCTCTCTAGTCTCTCTCTCTGGTCTCTCTCTAGTCTCTCTCTCTGGTCTCTCTCTGGTCTCTCTCTGGTCGCTCTCTGGTCTCTCTCTGGTCTCTCTCTCTGGTCTCTCTCTTTAGTCTCTCTCTGGTCTCTCTCTGGTCTCTCTCTCTGGTCTCTCTCTTTAGTCTCTCTCTGGTCTCTCTCTGGTCTCTCTCTGGTCTCTCTCTGGTCTCTCTCTGGTCTCTCTCTCTGGTCTCTCTCTGGTCTCTCTCTCTGGTCTCTCTCTGGTCTCTCTCTGGTCTCTCTCTGGTCTCTCTCTCTGGTCTCTCTCTGGTCTCTCTCTGGTCTCTCTCTTTAGTCTCTCTCTTTAGTCTCTCTCTGGTCTCTCTCTCTGGTCTCTCTCTTTAGTCTCTCTCTGGTCTCTCTCTGGTCTCTCTCTGGTCTCTCTCTGGCCTCTCTCTGGTCTCTGGTCAACAACTGTGTCGTATGATATTGTCTGGTGTGCCGTGAGAAATTTGCCAACTTAGTCTAAAAATAACTGCATTCACTATTGACGAGCACTGACTTGTCTTGAACTGTGGAGTAACCACGTAATACTTTTTCATATCAGTAGGTGGCAGCAGATAGCTAAGTACTTTGAAATTTAAGAATTGGATGCAACCACCAAATGTAACAAGTAGCTGGGTGGCGAGAAATGTGAGAATTGGACACGACCAACCAACGTAAGAGGCAGCGGGGAGAATTTTGGCGATTGAGAAGTGGATGTGATTGAGACGTTTTTGAAAAGGAATTATGGCTTTTCTGAACAGGATTCACATCCTCCGCTCTGACCCCGGGGGCAGCTGTGGCCCGTTTTGTACTGACAGCCGCTTTGACAACAGCTCAGCGAACGCACATCCGTAACATGGTGCCGCACGCGGACCCCAGTCGCGCGGACAGAACCATGGAGTCGCGGACAGAACCATGGAGTCGCGGACAGAACCATGGAGTCGCGGACAGAACCATGGAGTCGCGGACAGAACCATGGAGTCGCGGACAGAACCATGGAGTCGCGGACAGAACCATGGAGTCGCGGACAGAACCATGGAGTCGCGGACAGAACCATGGAGTCGGACGCGGACAGAACCATGGAGTCGCGGACAGAACCATGGAGTCGCGGACAGAACCATGGAGTCGCGGACAGAACCATGGAGTCGCGGACAGAACCATGGAGTCGCGACAGAACCATGGAGTCGCGACAGAACCATGGAGTCGCGGACAGAACCATGGAGTCGCGGACAGAACCATGGAGTCGCGGACAGAACCAGCGCACCGGAGTCGCGGACAGAACCATGGAGTCGCGGACAGAACCATGGAGTCGCAGACAGAACCATGGAGTCGCAGACAGAACCATAGAGTCGTGGACAGAACCATGGAGTCGCGGACAGAACCATGGAGTCGTGGACAGAACCATGGAGTCGCGGACAGAACCATGGAGTCGCGGACAGAACCATGGAGTCGCAGACAGAACCATGGAGTCGCAGACAGAACCATGGAGTCGTGGACAGAACCATGGAGTCGCGGACAGAACCATGGAGTCGCAGACAGAACCATGGAGTCGCAGACAGAACCATGGAGTCGTGGACAGAACCATGGAGTCGCGGACAGAACCATGGAGTCGCGGACAGAACCATAGAGTCGTGGACAGAACCATGGAGTCGTGGACAGAACCATGGAGTCGTGGACAGAACCATGGAGTCGCAGACAGAACCATGGAGTCGCGGACAGAACCATGGAGTCGTGGACAGAACCATGGAGTCGCAGACAGAACCATGGAGTCGTGGACAGAACCATGGAGTCGCGGACAGAACCATCTGCGCGGTCCTTGACTCAGACTTGGCTCCTGTTTTTCCCCGAGTCTCTCTCGTGTCTTTTGCCGAAGCCCAAAACTCCTGAATTTAAAGCTCGGATACCTACATTTTCCCCATGCATTAAAAATGCATGTTATTTGTGCAAAAAGTAAAATGTTGTGAACAAATCAAACAGAACACACAGCAGGGCATTTTTTTAATCATTATTTTTCACACATAAGTGTGTCACCTCTGAGTCATTATTTGACTTTTTGGGCTGAGAGTGGATTTTTGTATGTTTTTTTTCCCCACTTTATTCCCAAACTCTTGTTAACTCATTGTATTGAGAAATATTAAACCAAGCTTAATGTCAAGGCCTGGATTTAAGCACTTTGATAAGAATGACTTTATATCAGGACTAGAACCTCCCGCCACAAGAACAGTTTCTTCCCCTCTGCTGTTGGACTCTTGAACACTTCTTAACCTGTCCCCCCGCCCTTTATAAAGTCACTTTACTGCCCATCATACGTCACTTTACTTCACTGTACTGCTGTCACCTTACATTGTGTGCACCATGTGCACTTGTATATTGTAAATAGTAACTGTAACTCTATTTTAAATTTACATTTATTCCTTTAGAAGTGTTTTTTATTCTTTATTTATTTTTTATTATCTCTTTCTGACTGTTGCACTGAGCCAAAGCAATTTCCAAGTCTGTGACCTCCTGTTACTTACGTGGCAATAAAAATGATTCTGATTCTGATTTTGTACAGAGCATATTTTTTTACATTTTCTCCTGGTGGTGTGCCACAAGATTTTTTCATTGAAAAAAGTGTGCCTTGGCTCAAAAAAGGTTGAAAAACACTGAGCTACACTATGGGGACACGGGTACCATGGGGGAGGGGGCTACAGGTACACTATGGGGACACGGGTACCATGGGGGAGGGGGCTCAGGCCAGTACCCAGGGGCAGTTCGAGTCCTCAGTCTCTGATCTCACTCACTCCTCTCTCTCTCCTCAGGACGGGTGTAAACGGTCGCCGGGCACCCCCTCCTCGATGCCCGTGTCCTTGTCCATGCCTCTGTCCCTCCCCCACTCCTCTTCCTCCTCCTCCGCCCTGTCGCAGGACCCCCCCAGCCGTCGGCGTAGTAACGGGGAGAACTCTCAACACAAGTGGGCTCAGCGTCTGGACAAACTGAGGCTGTCACGGTCGCCTCCCCCCGCCCTGAGCGTGGCGCCCGCTTCCAGCACCATGCCGAGCCTCGCCAACGCCACGGGCAACCGGAGGCCAGGACGACTGGTAACTCAGGATTTACTCTCTGTCTCCACACTCTCCTCTCTTCTCCTCTCTTCTCCTCACAGTCCTCTCTCCTGTCTTCCCTTCTCTACTTTCTCTCCTCTCCTCACTCCTCTCCCCTCACTTCTCTTTTCTCTCTCCTCTCCTTTCTGTAGTTTGAAAGTGGGCCATTTAGACAGAAGGGTCGGGCCTCGCCTCTCTATCCTCTCTCTCTTTTCCTCACTCCTCTGTCTCCTCTCTCCTCACTCCTCTCTCTCCTCTCTCCTCTCCTCACTCCTCTGTCTCCTCTCTCTCTTTTCCTCACTCCTCTCTCTCCTCTCTCCTCTCCTCACTCCTCTGTCTCCTCTCTCTCTTTTCCTCTCTCTCCTCACTCCTCACTCCTCTGTCTCCTCTCTCTCTTTTCCTCACTCCTCTGTCTCCTCTCTCTCTTTTCCTCACTCCTCTCTCTCCTCTCCTCACTCCTCTGTCTCCTCTCTCTCTTCCTCACTCCTCTCTCCTCTCTCCTCACTCCTCTGTCTCCTCTCTCTCTTTTCCTCACTCCTCTCTCTCCTCTCTCCTCTCTTTTCCTCACTCCTCTGTCTCCTCTCTCTCTTTTCCTCACTCCTCTCTCTCCTCTCTCCTCTCTCTCTTTTCCTCACTCCTCTCTCTCCTCTCTCCTCTCTCTTCTCTCTCCTCTCCTCACTCCTCTGTCTCCTCTCTCTCTTTTCCTCACTCCTCTCTCTCCTCTCTCTCTTTTCCTCACTCCTCTGTCTCCTCTCTCTCCTCACTCCTCTGTCTCCTCTCTCTCTTTTCCTCACTCCTCTCTCTCCTCTCTCCTCTCCTCTTCTCCTCTCCTCTCCTCTCTCTGCAGTTTGAAAATGAGGCGTTCAGAAAGAAGGGTCAGGCCTCACCTCTCTCTCCTCTGCAGGTGCGGGAGGGCGGGGTCTCCGTAAGCTCCTCCCACGATGACTTTGGGGGTGGCGCTCACACGTTTTCCGGTTTCTCCTTTGGTCTGCTGCATCACGGCGCAGACGGCACGCCACAGACGCCCGGGGGCAGCCTGCCGTGGAGAGGCAGCCGTTGGCACAAGTGCAGACTGGTGCTGAGGGAAAGGGAGCGCGAGGGCGAGCGAGGGGACGACTTCTACCTGGAGTTCTTCATCCCTCCCAAGGTCAGGGGTCACAGCAGGGTCAGGGGTCACATCAGGGTCAGGGGTAAGGGTCTCGCTGGAGGACTCACTCATGTCCACATGTGTCCTCAGGCGTCCAAGCCTCGCCTTAGCGCCCCCTGCTGTTCCATTGTGGAAGTGAGGAGCACCACAGCTCTGGAGATGCCCGACAAAGAGAACACCTTTCTGCTGCAGGTAAAGTACTACTGCTACTACTATTACTACTGCTACTACTGCTACTATTACCACTACAACTACTACTGCTACTGCTACTACTATTACTATTACTATTACTATTACTATTACTATTACTACTGCTACTACTATTACTATTACTATTACTACTGCTACTATTACCACTACAACTACTACTACTGCTACTGCTGCTACTACTGGCGGCACGGTGGCTGAGTGGTTAGCACTCTCGCCTCTCAGCAAGAAGGTCCTGGGTTCGAATCCCGGTCGGACCAGAGCCTTTCTGAGTGGAGTTTGTATGTTCTCCCCGTGTCTGCGTAGGTTTCCTCCGGGTACTCCGGTTTCCCCTACCACTAAAAATATGTACAATAGTTCTGGCATGTTCTTCCTGTACTGGCCCCGCTCCCATCTCTGTGTGGAGTGAGAGACAAATGCCCATAATTAACAATTGTAAACTGCTTTGAGACTCAGATCTGCAGTGAAAAGGCGGTATATAAATAAAAAAAAAACGTACTTACTTACTACTGCTACTGCTGTTTCTACAACTACGAGTGCTTCTCCTACTGCTTCTGCCGTCTTAGCCTGTCTCCTGTTGCAGATGGACTCGGCTCAGTACATGATCGAGACTCGTGACGCGGTGCAGATGAGGGCGTGGCTTAGTGACATCCGCAACGCCATGTGCATCAGGTAAGTGATGTCATCAGAAGACAGTGATGTCATAAGTGATGTCATCAGTGATGTTATCAGAGGACGGAGATGTCATCAGGGAACAGTGATTTCTACAGACCTGAGTCATGAGAGCGTCAGGACATGTGTGTCACCTCCTGCTTCTTCCTCCGTCTAGAACTCACTCAGTTAAAGCTGTGGTACCCAACTTTTCCCTCCCATTATTAAAGTTGGTTGTGCCCATAGACTGTATACTCTGAGTGGACTGGTCAGTCCTTATATGGTCATATGTGGATAACTGGAGGAACACTTCCTTGTGTTTGTTATTGTTGTTGTTGCAGTGAACAGGACGAGTCTGAAGGGACCGGACCTCTGGACCTCAGCGGGACTCCGGAGATCATAGATCGCCTCTCACAAGGTCAGTCCTGGTTCAGTCCTGATACAGTCCTGGTTCAGTCCTGGTTCAGCCCAAAGAGGCATATATTGACTCTTTAAACCTTATGTTTGCAGTTTGTTACGGAGGCATCGCAGGCTCCTCCCCCCTCATGGATCCACTCCCCCCCGAGCTCCCGCCTCGCGCTCCTCTCGACGAATCGGACGCCAGGATCTTGGGAGGGGGCGGAGCCAGTCTGGGCACGCCATTCGCCGAGACGCCAGATGCCACCGGTACAAAAACATGTTGTATGGAATAAGAGATCTGGTGGTAGAAGTGGGACATGACACCCTGTTATATAATTACACGTCGAGCTGACTGGACCTGCAACCCGCGACTGAATCTTCTTCCAAATTACTAATTATTGGTGTAATTTTTTTCTGAGAAACTTGCTGTAGGCCATCAAATGTGATTCCCTCAGGTCTCTGGTCTCTCTCTGTTCTCTCTCTGGTCTCTCTTTGTCCTCTCTCTCTGGTCTCTCTCTGGTCTCTCTCTCTGGTCTCTCTCTGGTCTCTCTCTGGTCTCTCTCTGGTCTCTCTCTGGTCTCTCTCTCTGGTCTCTCTCTCTGGTCTCTCTCTCTGGTCTCTCTCTCTGGGCTTCTCTCTCTGGTCTCTCTCTGGTCTCTCTCTCTGGTCTCTCTCTCTGGTCTCTCTCTCTGGTCTCTCTCTCTGGTCTCTCTCTGGTCTCTCTCTGGTCTCTCTCTGGTCTCTCTCTGGTCTCTCTCTGGTCTCTCTCTGGTCTCTCTCTCTGGTCTCTCTCTGGTCTCTCTCTGGTCTCTCTCTGGTCTCTCTCTGGTCTCTCTCTCTGGTCTCTCTCTCTGGTCTCTCTCTGGTCTATCACTCTCTGGTCTCTCTCTCTGGTCTCTCTCTGGTCTATCACTCTCTGGTCTCTCTCTGGTCTATCACTCTCTGGTCTCTCTCTGGTCTATCACTCTCTGGTCTCTCTCTGGTCTCTCTCTCTGGTCTCTCTCTCTGGTCTCTCTCTGTTCTCTCTCTCTGGTCTCTCTCTCTGGTCTCTCTCTCTGGTCTCTCTCTCTGGTCTCTCTCTCTGGTCTCTCTCTCTGGTCTCTCTCTGGTCTCTCTCTCTGTACTCTCTCTCTGTACTCTCTTTCTGGTCTCTCTCTCTGGTCTCTCTCTCTGGTCTCTCTCTCTGGTCTCTCTCTGGTCTCTCTCTCTGGTCTCTCTCTCTGGTCTCTCTCTCTGGTCTCTCTCTCTGGTCTCTCTCTGGTCTCTCTCTGGTCTCTCTCTGGTCTCTCTCTGGTCTCTCTCTCTGGTCTCTCTCTGGTCTCTCTCTGGTCTCTCTCTGGTCTCTCTCTCTGGTCTCTCTCTGGTCTCTCTCTGGTCTCTCTCTGGTCTCTCTCTGGTCTCTCTCTGGTCTCTCTCTGGTCTCTCTCTCTGGTCTCTCTCTGGTCTCTCTCTGGTCTCTCTCTGGTCTCTCTCTGGTCTCTCTCTGGTCTCTCTCTGGTTGGTCTCTCTCTGGTCTCTCTCTGGTCTCTCTCTGGTCTCTCTCTCTGGTCTCTCTCTCTGTTTTCTCTCTCTGTTTTCTCTCTCTGTTCTCTCTCTCTGGTCTCTCTCTCTGGTCTCTTTCTCTGGTCTCTCTGTACTCTCTCTCTGGTCTCTCTCTCTGGTCTCTCTCTCTGGTCTCTCTCTCTGGTCTCTCTCTGGTCTCTCTCTGGTCCCCTTTTCCCTCTCTGGTCTTTCTCTAAAGTCTCTCCTCCTGGTCCTCAGGGTCGTTCCTCTTCTCTGACCCGCTCCCCTCAGACATGGCTGACCACCCTCTGAGTGAGTGCCAGTGGTTCCATGGGACACTTTCTCGGCTGAAGGCGGCTCAGCTGGTGTTGGCAGGAGGACCGGCCTCCCACGGTGTCTTCTTGGTCCGACAGAGCGAGACCCGCAGAGGAGAGTATGTGCTCACGTTCAACTTCCAGGGGAAAGCCAAGGTATGAGCCAGCGACCACACGGGGGCAGGTACAGGAGGTTATAACTGTGACTGAGGCCCTGTTTAGACGGAGACGCTGCGAAGCAATTTCTCCGTATTCAAAGACCAATGCGTCTACACAACGACGGAAAACGATGTAGTTCTAGCGTCCGGCCAGTAGGGGGCAGTGGAACTTTACAACACGACACACCCCAGCCCCCCCAGCAGTATAATCAGTTCCTCAACAACAATGTAACAAGAGCAGTGAAAATGGAATCAGAAACTACAGCTTAGCGTGGTTTCGTAGTATCCTCGTCTGCGTAACGATAGAAGCACACGTAGCGTTAGTTGATCCACCGCCATTGTTGTTTACGTTTGTTCTACTGCGCATGTCCAAATGTACGTGCGGGGAAGTGGTGAGTAGTCATCCGATGCACCGTCTCCGTGTGAAGAAAGGCCAATCCGACACCCAACTCTATGGTTTTACTGTCGCAGCGTCTCCGTGTAAACTGCGACTGAGTGAAGCTGATAAGATAACACTTTATTAGTATTAAAGTGACTAAAAGCAGTGCAAGAAGCTGCTTGACGTGTGACCTGAGTGAAGCAGACTGAGCTGTAGTACCTGTGCTCCTCTCTCCAGCACCTGCGACTGTCTCTGAACGAGGATGGCCAGTGCCGCGTGCAGCACCTGTGGTTCCAGTCCATCTTCGACATGTTGGAGCACTTCAGAGTTCACCCCATCCCCCTGGAGTCGGGCGGCGCCTCCGACGTCACGCTCATCAGCTTTGTGGGCGCCACGGCGGTGCGCCAGCCAGGTAACCACCACCACACATGCAGCAGGAACTAAAGCTAGGGTATGTAACTTTTGACGTATAAATGACACTTGGTTGAAGATGCAGTCAGTGATTTTGTTCCAGACGCTTTTTATTTATTTATTTATTTTTTGGGGGGAAATGTCCCTAAACCCTAAAAGTATAAAGTTATCATGAGTTTTCAAATAGAAATGGAATTGACCAGATGCCTATAGTCTCCAAAAATTTATAAAACATATTCCGGAGTGGACAGATAAAAATAAACCAATGGGATTCGTTCATCTCCAACAAACCAATGGGATGTGTTTACCGCCTTCAGCCTCTTCCTGTTTCCCAGAGTGCACCGGAGTTATCGGATTTTCTAAAATCTAAAATGGCTGAACAGAAAATGCCAATTTCTCGTTTGCTTCACTCTCTCTGTGACAAAGGAAAGAAAAAGCTGGATGTTTGGTTTGGTGGAGAGGGGGGGGGGGGAGTGGTTTGGGGGGGGGGGGTGGGGGGGGGGGGGGGGGGGGGGGAGTGGTTTGGTGGAGAGGGAGGGGAGGGGGAGTGGTTTGGTGGAGAGGGAGGGGAGGGGGAGTGGTTTGGTGGAGAGGGAGGGGAAGGGGGAGTGGTTTGGTGGAGAGGGAGGGGAAGGGGGAGTGGTTTTGGTGGAGAGGGGGGGGGGGTGGTTTGGTGGGGGGGGGGGGAGTGGTTTGGTGGAGAGGGAGGGGAGGGGGGAGCGGAGGGGGGAGTGGTTTGGTGGAGAGGGAGGGGGGAGTGGTTTGGTGGAGAGGGAGGGGGAGTGGTTTCCAGTTGGTGCTACGGCTAAGCTAACAAAATTGCTTACTGCACCTTTAAAGATGGGGTAAATACCTTTTAACCTTGTTTTTAACATATGTTTAAAGCCTGGGTACGTACATTTAGTCTAATAAATAACACATGTAGTTGAATAACATGTTACCTTTTATATAAGAAAGATCCCACAGATTCACTATTTGACTCTTTAGGTTGAGAGCCGATTGAATAATGTGACAGACCAAAAATGAGGAGCAACTGTTTTAGAGTCAGGAACTAGAGACATGGGTTTACTACGGAGTAATATCTTTAATGTTATGTACAACAGCTTTTATTGAACTTAGTCTGTACAAAAATCCTGATTAAACACATGCCCACTCAAGCCTCCAGGGGGCGCCAATAGCAAAACGAAAACCCTTTATATTAGACTCTGTGCTTAGGCTCAGACAGAAGTGGAGTCTAATGCAGTGTTTTTCAACCACTGTGCCGCGGCACACTAGTGTGCCGCATGATATTGTCTGGTGTGCCGTGAGAAATTCGTCTACTTTGTCTAAAAATAACTGCATTCGCTGTTGACGAGCGGTGACTTGTTTTGAACTGTGAGTAACCATGTAATACTTTTTCAAATCAGTAGATGGCAGCAGATAGCTAAGTACTTTGAAACTGAAAAATTGGATGCGACCACTGGCTGTAACAGGTCAGCATTGTGGCGAGAAAGGTAAAATTGGATGCGACCAACAAATGTGGGAGGGAGCGAGACAAGAGCTTTGTGGCGAGTGAGAAGTGAAAGTGATAGAGACGTTTTTGAAAATGAATTATGCCGTTTCTGAACAGGATTAACATCCTCCGCTCTGCCCCGGGGCAGCTGTGGCCGCGTTGTAGTGGTTTAACTATGAAATGTACGATTTTTGTACAACAGCTCTCGCGAACGCACTTCTGAACTGGGTACCGAGCGCAGACCATAGTCGAGTGGACAGAACCACAGACATGCGGACCGGACAGAACCATGGACTCGCGTTCAGGACCTCCCGTGTCCCTCATCCAAAACTCCTGAATTTAAAGCTCGGATACCTAAATGTTTCCCATGCACTAACAATGCATGTTCTTTGTGTGAGTTATTATTTGACTATTTGGGCAGAGAGTGGATTTTCTTAGTTTTTTTCCACACAGTTAGTGCCACTTTATTCCCAAACTCTTGTTAATTGTATCTATAAATATTAAATAAAGCTTAATGTCAAGGCCTGGACTTAAGCATTTTGATGAGAATAACTGTATATTGTGAATATAGGCTACAGAGTATACTGTATACATTATAAGATAAGATATACTTTATATATCACACAGAGTATGTACAGTATATATTTTTTTACATTAGTACTGTATACATTTTTACATTTTCTCCTGGAGGTGTGCCGCAAGATTTTTTCAGTGAAAAAAGTGTGCCTTGGCTCAAAAAAGGTTGAAAAACACTGATCTAATGATCCTAGAATGACTGCTGAATGGAAGAATACTCATTTTCAGATTCATGACATTTGTGGATCACATACCTCTCATTTCAAACACTGCAGCTGTTGTGTTGTGTTGTTGTTGATGACGCTGCTCATGTCCACAGGCCGCGATCGGGCCGGCAGTCGCGCCGCAGCCTGTGATGTCATCAATACGCGCCATCCCGACTCCCCATCAACCCCCATCTCAGACTGTGTGTAAGTGACCGGTTCGGTCTAGTCGTGTGTGTGTGTGTGTGTGTGTGTGTGTGTGTGTGTGTGTGTGTGTGTGTGTGTGTGTGTGTGTGTGTGTGTGTGTGTGTGTGTGTGTGTGTGTGTGTGTGTGTGATCCATGACCCTCATTCATCTCTGTCTCGTCTCTCAGCAAAGCTTCTGCGTTTGTCTGTAGTTTTGGGAAGATCAAACGGGTCAAACGTCGGAGTTTTGATAAATCATGAAGTTTCATACCCCCGGGTCTTGTCTTCCTCACACAATGAGGACTCGTGCTGGTCTGTTGCCTCTCTCTGGTCTCACTCTCTGGTCTCACTCTCTGGTCTCTTTCTCTGGTCTCTCTCTCTGGTCTCTCTCTGGTCTCTTTCTCTCTGGTCTCTTTCTCTGGTCTCTCTCTGGTCTCTTTCTCTCTGGTCTCTTTCTCTGGTCTCTCTCTGGTCTCTTTCTCTCTGGTCTCTTTCTCTCTGGTCTCTTTCTCTGGTCTCTCTCTGGTCTCTTTCTCTCTGGTCTCTTTCTCTGGTCTCTCTCTGGTCTCTTTCTCTCTGGTCTCTCTCTCTCTGGTCTCTCTCTCTCTGGTCTTTCTCTCTGGTCTTTCTCTCTGGTCTCTTTCTCTCTGGTCTCTCTGGTCTCTCTCTGGTCTCACTCTCTGGTCTCCCTTTAGTCTCTCTGGTCTCTTTCTCTCTGGTCTCACTCTCTGGTCTCTTTCTCTGGTCTCTTTCTCTGGTCTCTCTCTGGTCTCTTTCTCTCTGGTCTCTTTCCCTCTGGTCTCTCTCTCTCTGGTCTCTCTCTGGTCTCTTTCTCTCTGGTCTCTTTTCTCTGATCTCTTTCTCTGGTCTCTCTCTGGTCTCTTTCTCTCTGGTCTCTTTCCCTCTGGTCTCTCTCTCTCTGGTCTCTCTCTGGTCTCATTCTCTCTGGTCTCTTTCCCTGGTCTCTCTCTGGTCTCTTTCTCTCTGGTCTCTTTCTCTCTGGTCTCTCTCTCTCTGGTCTTTCTCTCTGGTCTTTCTCTCTGGTCTCTTTCTCTCTGGTCTCTCTGGTCTCTCTCTGGTCTCACTCTCTGGTCTCCCTTTAGTCTCTCTGGTCTCTTTCTCTCTGGTCTCACTCTCTGGTCTCTTTCTCTGGTCTCTTTCTCTGGTCTCTCTCTGGTCTCTTTCTCTCTGGTCTCTTTCCCTCTGGTCTCTCTCTCTCTGGTCTCTCTCTGGTCTCTTTCTCTCTGGTCTCTTTCTCTGGTCTCTCTCTGGTCTCTTTCTCTCTGGTCTCTTTCCCTGGTCTCTCTCTGGTCTCTTTCTCTCTGGTCTCTTTCTCTCTGGTCTCTCTCTCTCTGGTCTTTCTCTCTGGTCTCTCTCTGGTCTCTTTCTCTCTGGTCTCTTTCCCTGGTCTCTCTCTGGTCTCTTTCTCTCTGGTCTCTTTCTCTCTGGTCTCTCTCTCTCTGGTCTCTCTCTCTCTGGTCTTTCTCTCTGGTCTTTCTCTCTGGTCTCTTTCTCTCTGGTCTCTCTGGTCTCTCTCTCTCTGGTCTCTCTCTCTGGTCTCTTATTTCTCATACACTGGCCCCGGTTTCTTTGTTTTAGAGCTGTTTGATCTTTTCTCAAAAACATCATTAATACAAACTTTTCCTTCAGTTCTAATTGTTCTTTTGGCTCTTGATGTCTCTCTGATTTCGTTCCATTGCTTTACTATTCCTCTGGTCTCTCTCTTTTCTCTCTCTGCTCTCTCTCTCTCTCCGGTCTCTCTCTCTGGTCTCTCTCTTGTCTCTCTCTGGTCTCTCTCTGGTCTCTCTCTCTGGTCTCTCTCTTGTCTCTCTCTGGTCTCTCTCTCTCTGGTCTCTCTCTTGTCTCTGTCTGGTCTCTCGGGTTTCCTTCTCATGTCTCTGGTGTCTGTCTCTCTGGTCTCTGGTTTTATTCCCCTACGTTACTCTCTGTCTCTTCTCTCCACAGACTTGACCAGCAGTCGTCCCCGTAGCCCCGCCCCTTCCCCACCTCCGCCCCTCCCCCCGAGCAGGCCGCCTCCCCCGACTCCTCCCTCTCCGCGAGAGTCCACCCCCCCGGTCATTAATACAGCGGCACGCCCTCCGCCACCACAGCTGCCTGCGCCTACCTCCGCCACCACGAGCCCTGCGACCACGGCAACCAACACGACCACAGCTCCGCCCCTAACCCCGCCCCCCACCACCACGGGAGGCGTGGCCAGTGCTGGGGCAGTGCCAGACGAGTGGGAGGAGCCAACAGACCCGGAGGAAGGCCCCAGAGTTCCCCGCGCCGTCGACAATCAGTACTCTTTCTTCTAGCGCGGGATTGGAGCCGGTACAGAGACCAGCGGGACGAGAACTGAAGACCTGAGGGTTTAAGGGAGTCGGACTGTGACGCTGTTTGCACAAGGGAAAGCTCACGCCCTGGACGTGGAAGAGAGAAGCGCAGGATTGTACCACAAACTAAGAGTGGAAACCTCAATCTTCTAGCGCAGGATTCAAACCTGCGAGCTGCTGATCCAGGGCTGTGGACTTGAGACGCAGGGCAGACCAGAGAATTGACCGGCTTTGGGAAGCGACCCTATGACCTCCGGTTCAAACGTGTGAACTGTAGAGCGACCTGAAGGATGAGGGAAGCGACCCCATGACCCCATTAAAGGGAAGAGCATTTAGCTAAGAGATCTGACCTCATGACAGCGGTACAGGGGGAAGCCGGTGTGGAGCCTGGAACCCGTTTTGGTAACAACTCTGGAACTCGGACCTGTTTGTTTTGGTTCTAGTCTCAGAAACTCATCCCGTTTTCGACACTAATAAAACAGTTTTCCTCGACCTTTCACCAGAGCGAGTGTGTCAGATCGTTAGCTAACCTTCCACATCCGCAGGTGAGTCCCCGGGTCGCTCTCGGGTCAAATGCAGAAGACAACGACTGCATCCAGATTTAATCAGTTCAATTTGATTAGATATATTTCTAAACAATTTGTTTTTTGTCGTCTAATCCAACAAATCTGTTGTTGCAAATTGTTATTAAAGGGACTGTCTGTAATGTTACCCATTTAAATGACATCTCATACAGGTCACATCTACACATCCACAGTGCCTTAAAAGCACTTACACAGCTTGAACTTTTGCACCTTTGGTCACGTTCACAACAATAACCAGTAACAACTGTGAAGTGAACCTAAAATGAGACATGACTCCACCACGAGCTGTTTTTATAGAAAAGTGAAGAGTTGGCCACGCACAAGTATTCATACAACTTTTTTCCTAACGATGTTGAATGTTGACACTTTGCCTAATGATTAAACAGAGGCCTCCTGTGTGTGATCTACTCTCATTATAAAAAACAAACAGTACATGGGACAACTATCAGCCGTACTCTACACAAATCTGGCCTTTATGGAAGAGTGGCACGAAGAAATCTATTATTGAGAGAAGGCCACAAGAAATCCTCTTAGAAGTTTCCCAGAAATCATATGGGGGACACTGCTACCACGTGGAAGACGCATGGATCTATAATAACTGGATACGGTATTACTAGCTTAAAGCTGTCCCACCCATGGCCACAGGGGGCGCTGTGGTACTGCAGACTAAATTCACGAGGGCTACCCATAAAAAAGTCCCATTGATCGTCATGTAAACTAAAACAGCTCGACCTCAGCTGACAGAGAACCTGACAGAGAACCTGACCGAGAACCTGACCGAGAACCTGACAGAGAACCTGACCGAGAACCTGACCGAGAACCTGACCGAGAACCTGACCGAGAACCAGACCGAGAACCTGACCGAGAACCTGACCGAGAACCAGACCGAGAACCTGACCGAGAACCTGACCGAGAACCAGACCGAGAACCAGACCGAGAACCTGACCGAGAACCAGACCGAGAACCTGACCGAGAACCAGACCGAGAACCAGACCGAGAACCTGACCGAGAACCAGACCGAGAACCAGACCGAGAACCAGACCGAGAACCAGACAGAGAACCTACAGCGTTCATAAAGGTCAGATTTTGTGGGGATTTTAGTGTCCCTTGTCATCCTGAACTTTTTTTCTTCTCAAATCTTTCGGTTTTCTTTTAAATCAAACTCTGCTCGTTCGGCTCCCGCTCTAACTCCCGCTCTAACTCCCGCTCTAACTCCCGCTCTAACTCCCGCTCTAACTCCCGCTCTAACTCCCGCTCTAACTCCCGCTCTAACTCTCGCTCTAACTCCCGCTCTAACTCCCGCTCTAACTCCCGCTCTAGCTCCCGCTCTAGCTCCCGCTCTAGCTCCCGCTCTAGCTCCCGCTCTAGCTCCCGCTCTAGCTCCCGCTCTAGCTCCCGCTCTAGCTCCCGCTCTAGCTCCCGCTCTAGCTCCCGCTCTAGCTCCCGCTCTAGCTCCCGCTCTAGCTCCCGCTCTAACTCCCGCTCTAACTCCCGCTCTAACTCCCGCTCTAACTCCCGCTCTAACTCCCGCTCTAACTCCCGCTCTAACTCCCGCTCTAACTCCCGCTCTAACTCCCGCTCTAACTCCCGCTCTAACTCCCGCTCTAACTCCCGCTCTAACTCCCGCTCTGATCAGCAGCTCTGATTGGTCAAAGCGTGGCCGAGCCCCTTTCTGCACGTGCATGAGAGCCACACACGCGTATTTGGCGCAACGCATTATGGGAGATCATCCACTGCACAGAACCGGGAGGACCAGACGATGCCCAAATATGGGCGAGTTCCGCTAATATGTCAGTGATGTCGGAATAGTAGGAATAGCTTGTAATAGGGATGGATACGAAACGTGCTAGAGTCAGCAAGATGAGAGATTGAAAAACAATTTAGAGAACAGAAGCTAAATCTACAATGGAATGGTTTAAAAGTCCAGACCTGAATCCAACAGAACATCTGTGGACAGACCTGAGAGCTTGTTCACAAACACTCTCCATCTAATTTGACAGACCGTGAGTTGTTTTGTAAAGAGGAATGAGCTAAGATATGTGCAAATCTTGTAGAGTCATACCCGACAAGACTTACTGCTGTGATTACGGGTTTTCACACCGTATTAACTCACGCTGTATGAATACTTCAACTACAACAGAATCATGTGTCATTTTGCTTTCACTTCACAGTTTTCTGTTACTTTGTGTGAACTTTCAGTAAAAACATTAATATAAAGTCTGTTCATGGTAAACTCCACAAAATGTGTAAAAGGTCAAGTTGTATCAATACTTTTGCAGGTCACGGTCTGTGTCCTCTATAACAGGACACATGTACACATACAATGGAAGAAGAAAGCGGGATTCGAACCCTCAGCCTCACGGTACAGAGAGAGAGCAGGACTTGAACCTTCAGCCTCATGGTACAGAAAGAGTGGGACTGGAACCTTCAGCCTCACGGTACAGAAAGAGTGGGACTGGAACCCTCAGCCTCATGGTACAGAAAGAGTGGGACTGGAACCTTCAGCCTCACGGTACAGAAAGAGTGGGACTGGAACCCTCAGCCTCATGGTACAGAAAGAGTGGGACTGGAACCTTCAGCCTCATGGTACAGAAAGAGTGGGACTGGAACCTTCAGCCTCACGGTACAGAAAGAGTGGGACTGGAACCCTCAGCCTCATGGTACAAAGAGAGCAGGACTCAAACCCACGACTCGGCGGGGAGGAAAGCAAATTTGGTGACACGTGATTTTTGGAAATGTGAGAACCAGACTCTGGTGGGAAACGAGCTGACAACGCTGTGGTTCAGGAGAGAGACAAAGGAGAGCGAGAACACGTGTGAAATAAGTTCATAAATGCTTGAAGTTTTGAAAACCATTTTGGAACAGAACCCACTGTTGACCAGCGCCCCCTGCTGGTCACTGTTATCGCCAAGGCTTTGACAAACGAGACAGGGCAGTGGCTAACATGAGCTAACTATTGCTAAAGTGGCTAACTCAGGCTAACTATTGCTAAAGTGGCTAACTCAGGCTAACTATTGCTCAAGTGGCTAACTCAGGCTAACTATTGCTCAAGTGGCTAACTTAGGCTAACTATTGCTAAAGTGGCTAACTCAGGCTAATGTTATTTCGAGGGTTTGGAACCAGAGGGCATCAGTGGCAGTGGACCTAAAGCAGGATCTGCTGCCCCCTAGGTGAAATCAAGGGTATTACAGATAGATAGACCTCAAGTCAGCGATCAGTGGATTTGTTCTTGGGACGTTTTGCATCATATGTCCACTTCAAGACCAACTGTTTCTGATTCGGATTAGCTTGAAATAGCAGTTAGCTCCTTTGGCAAATCTCGTTTTAAGTAGTAATAAACTCAAAAGAAAACATTCAAGCATTTATGTCGACAGGTTCAGAGGACTAATATAATCCATGAGTATCTGTGGAATAGAACCTGAAACCCTTTGGTGTTGGTACGAAGCTGCGGCTGCGTCCCGGATTCAACAGACTTTTGAGGAGCGGCCATTTTGCGACTGGAGAAACGCTGAGGCAGTGGCAAGGTTTGACTCAAAATGGCCACCGCTGTTTGAACAGAGAAGCGCTAACGCGCCGCACCAACCACGAGAATTAAAGAGCAGGTCCCTGATTCTGTCTGTGCAAATGTAGTGCTATAGTGGCTAACTGGAGCTAACTATTGTCAATGTGGCTAACTGGAGCTAACTATTGTCAATGTACTTCACTCGGGCTAACTATTAATTTGGCTCACGTGGGTTAACTATTTCTAATGCGGCTAACTCAAGCTAAATATAGCTAACGTAGCTTACTCTGGCTAACTATTGCCACTGTTGCTTACTCTTGCTAACTAATTAAATCTAATTCAAGCTAACTATGCTACTATGGTTACCTCGAGCTAACTATTGCTTTCGGGCAAACTTTTCTATCACGCTCCTACTTGCACTTGACAATTAGGAAGTCCTGATTGTGTTTTTGTCGGTAAAATCAGGTCCCTGCTCTTTAAATGCCGTAATAATAAAAACAGGATGGAGTCCGATTGAAACGTTGAGTTCAGATCTTGTTTTTGCTTCGGGGTTTTTGAATATGTGAAAACCCTCTACACTACAAAGAGAGGCATCATGGGTAATGTAGTCCGGACACCTCAGAATCCACTGCTTCAGAACAACCAACAAACTACAACAGAAATGTCTGGTTTTACTCTCTTCATGTTCCAATAGTTACACAAAAATACTAGGAACGTCCCTCTGTCCCTTCTGTCCCTCTGTCCCTTCTGTCCCTTCTGTCCCTCTGTCCCTTCTGTCCCTTCTGTCCCTCTGTCCATTCTGTCCCTTCTGTCCCTCTGTCCCTTCTGTCCCTCTGTCCCTCTGTCCCTTCTGTCCCTCTGTCCCTTCTGTCCCTTCTGTCCCTCTGTCCCTCTGTCCCTTCTGTCCCTCTGTCCCTTCTGTCCCTCTGTCCCTTCTGTCCCTCTGTCCCTTCTGTCCCTCTGTCCCTTCTGTCCCTCTGTCCCTTCTGTCCCTCTGTCCATTCTGTCCCTTCTGTCCCCTCTGTCCCTTCTGTCCCTCTGTCCCTTCTGTCCCTCTGTCCCTTCTGTCCCCTCTGTCCCTTCTGTCCCTTCTATCCCTCTGTCCCTTCTGTCCCTTCTGTCCCTCTGTCCCTTCTGTCCCTCTGTCCCTTCTGTCCCTTCTGTCCCTCTGTCCCTTCTGTCCCTTCTGTCCCTTCTGTCCCTCTGTCCCTCTGTCCCTTCTGTCCCTCTGTCCCTTCTGTCCCTCTGTCCCTCTGTCCCTTCTGTCCCTCTGTCCCTTCTGTCCCTTCTGTCCCTTCTGTCCCTCTGTCCCTTCTGTCCCTCTGTCCCTTCTGTCCCTCTGTCCCTCTGTCCCTTCTGTCCCTCTGTCCCTTCTGTCCCTTCTGTCCCCTCTGTCCCTTCTGTCCCTTCTGTCCCTCTGTCCCTTCTGTCCCTCTGTCCCTCTG